CGTATCCAAAAAGATCGTGAACCAGTGGCGGACTTCACCACGGCGCTGCACACACTGAGCAAGAAGTGTGAGTATGGCCAAATCAACGATGAGCTTATTTGCGATCGTATTGTCGTTGGTTTTCGCGATAAACGACTGTCCTTGAAGCTGCAAATAGAGAGTGAATTGACACTAAAGAGAGCAGTTCTTCTCGCGAAGCAAACTGAAATAGTCGGAAAACAACAGGAGGCCCTCAGACAAGAGGATGCCACGCAACCTGATCAGGTTCAAGTCTACCACCTCAAGATATTCAAGAGGCACACCTCACCTGTAGAAAAGCACAGCATGACAGCAAAAATTCTCAAGCTTGCTATTGGTGCGGCAACCATAACGTTCATCCACGAAAAGACTGCCCAGCATCAAAGAGCAAATGCCACAAATGTGGAAAGCCGGGTCACTTCGCAAGCATTTGCAAGTCGAAGTCGACCTTCCTGCATCAAATCTCAGAGCCTATAACTTCGGGGCACCTTGACGAAAACTTCTACTTCACAGGAACCGTGACGTCCTCCGGCAAATGCGCACCATGGCGAGTCTTGCTTCGTAGTGGGAGCGAAGATGTGAACTTTCGTTTGGACACTGGTGCTGACGTCTCTGTCGTACCGGAGCACTTTGTATCCAAACTGCAAGACCAGGGCAGTCTTCGACACGCGGATAAAGTTCTTCTTGGACCAACAAATGAACGCCTGCATGTTCTCGGCGTGCTGCAGGCAACGGTCACGTTCAAGGACTCTCAGACAACGGGCGCCTTCTATGTAACAAGAAATGTCAATGAGCCACTGCTCGGCTTGAACCTGATAGAAGCCCTAAACATCATCCAACGAGTAAATCAGCTGTCGACTTCAGAAGCTCTAGATCCAATCAAGGAGTACCCCTTGCTTTTTAAGGGTCTAGGGGAAGCTGCATACGTGTGCGAAATAAAGCTAAAACCTGATACTTATGCAGTTGCCTTGTCGTCACCGAGACGCATACCAGTTCCACTCCAGAAAGCAGTTGAAGAGCAGCTCGAAAAGATGGAGAACGGAGGTGTTATTTCCAGAGTTCGGGAACCAACGAGCTGGTGCTCACCTGTTGTTGGAGTTCCAAAGAAGAATGGTGATGTTCGCATCTTCGTTGATTACACATCACTTAATAAAAGTGTTCTGAGGGAGTACCACCCGATACCGAGTGTGGAACCTCTTCCAGCGACTCTTGGGCAGGCGAGAAAATTTCTCATCTCGATGCCTATTCAGGCTTCTACCAAATCAAGTTGCACCCAGAGTCGACGCTGCTTACGACTTTTATCACACCGTTTGGCCGGTACAAATTTAATTGACTACCATTTGGAATCTCCTGCGCGCCGGAGATCTTTCAGCGGATGATGCACCAAATTCTTGAAGGTTTGGAAGGAGTCACGTGCCTTATCGATGATATTTTGATATGGGCCGACACACGGAGGGAACACGACATTCGTCTCCGAAGAGTCCTCACAAGATTGCAAGAAAATGGGATCACCCTAAACGCACAGAAATGCGTGTTTGCTCAAGAACAAATTCAGTTCCTTGGACACGTCATTAATGACAGGGGTGTAAGCCCAGATAAAGAAAAAATATCAAGTATCTTAAACATGCCTCCTCCGATGAATACAACAGAGCTAAAGAGGTTCCTCGGTATGGTAAACTTTATTGCAAGATTTATACCAAACTTAGCAGATGTACTTCAACCCTTGCGAGAGTTGCTCCACAAAGATGTTGAATTTGTTTGAGAAACTCCTCAGCAGCAAGCGTTCGAGAGGGCAAAATCAAGCCTGACATCTCAACCAGTCTTGGCGCTCTACTCTCCAAAAAAAGCGACAATATTATCAGTAGACGCCTCCAGCTATGGTATAGGAGCAGTGCTCATGCAGCATCTGAAAGATGAAACTCTCCGACCAGTTGCCTACGTTTCAATATCATTATCTGAAACGGAAAGAGGGTATTCTCAGATAGAAAAGGAAGCGTATGCAATCACCTGGGCCTGCGAAAAGCTGAAGGACTATTTTGTAGGACTAACCTTTTACATTGAGACTAATCATAAGCCTCTCATACCACTGTTTACCAGAAAGCCTGTGGACGATCTTACACCCAGACTTCAGCGAATGCGTCTCCGGATGATGAGGTACGACTTCACAATAGAACATGTTCCGGGAAAAGACCTCACAGTCGCAGACACCCTATCGAGACAACCTCTCAAGAGTGAAGACGGCCTGTGCATAGCAGAAGAGGTAACAGAATTCGAGCACGCTCTCATTCCTCACGTACCGGCTTCAGATGTCTGTTGGGAACAACTGTCGGCAGCTCAAGACAATGACCCGACCATGCGCATTTTAAAAAAGTACATTACGGATGGGTGGCCCACAAGTAATTTAAAAACAACTCAGGACTGCCGTCAATACTGGCAGTTTAAAGACGAACTGACATTGTATGACGGCATTATAATGAGAAACTCGCGATACCTTGTACCCCTCTCAATGAGACCTTCAGTACTGCAGTTTCTACACGATGGACACGAGGGCGTTTTCAAGTGCGCAAGAAGAGCCAAAGAGTCGTGTTGGTGGCCTGGCATCACTACAGACATTACAGAAATGGTTGAAAGGTGTGCCAGCTGTCTGCACCAGAGGCAGCACAGAAGTCAACCACTGATCCCAACTCCGCTTCCAGAACGCCCTTGGCAAAAGCTGGCCATGGACATCCTCTACGTGGAAGGCAAGAACTATCTCCTTATCACTGATTATTATTCTAGATACTTCGAAGTAGCTCTCCTCGAAGACCAATTACCGGAAACAACCATTCTAAAAGCAAAGTCTTTTTTCGCTAGACACGGGATACCTGAGACGGTCATTACAGACAATGGCCCCCAATTTCGATCGGCATTCATGTCATTTAGCAAAGAATGGGGCTTCCGACACGTCACGTCAAGCCCAACGTATCCTCAAAGTAACGGCGCAGCAGAGGTGGTCGTGAAGGTAGCAAAAATGAAGTTTAAGAAGTCAAGTGACCCTTATAGAGCGCTTCTTGCATATCGTGCTACACCATTATCTTGTGGATTCAGTCCCGCAGAGCTCTTGTTCAGCAGAAAGATTCGAACGCAGGTGCCGGTCCTACTACATCTGCTCAGCCCGAAAACACCTGACCTCTCCCTGTTGAAAGAGAGCGAGAGACAAGCAAAAAACAAGCGAGCGTCTGGCTTCAACAGGCATCATGGAGTTAGGAACCTGCCAGAGCTTCAGTCATCACAGCAAGTCTGGATCAGAGACCTGAATAAAGGGGGGACAGTACTCAAGAAAGCCGATTCGCCGCGCTCATATTGGGTATCCACAAAGGATGGCACTGTCCGGCGAAACCCGAAGTTTCTTGTTATTGATCGAAGCAAAAACAAGGAGGACGATGAGACGTCGTACGATGATTTCCCAGGTACAAGTATATACAACGGCCACCAGGACGATGAACCACTCAGTGTTGACGATGAACCACCCAGTGTTGACGTAGAGCCACAACGTGGGTACACTACACGAGCGCGAAGATTGGTCAAGCCACCAAGTCGTTTTGGACAATAAGGAAAAGGGGAGATGTTCGATAGCCGGGGTTGGAAGACGACGAAGCGCATAGAGAGCGGGAGCTCGGCCTCTCGTGCGGGTCTTCGGGCGGATTCAAAACGTATCACTTCATAGCTGAATAAACCCACCTATACTTCAAAGCAGTAGTGACTGCATATCATTCATGATTTGCCTTTGCTGCAGTCTTTTACTTAGTTTAAGGTTGTAATACCTTGCTCTTTTTTTATCACGAATTAAGAATTTTTCCACTACGGGACCTGAGGCGAGGGTATACAAAATGTTCTATAGAAACTCCCTGGTATAATGACTGACAGCTAAGGAATGAAAGCCGTGACTTACTCTGGTCAATCTTCTTGTTTGGTGATTCGTTAGTTAGCATTGAGTACCACGTGGGTGCCCACGACATGCGTTTCTTGAACTGTAAATAGGGAGTTTTAGTAGACCGCGTTGATGCCTCCGATAACAAAATCTGATAACAATACGCTGCCTGCGCAAAGGCGTCGGCAGTGTCAGGGTTATTGGAGGTCTCAGAACGATCTACTAAAACTCCCTGGTGACAAGGGTGACGCGTGAAGCGCCACAGGTTTGATTAAGCGCTACAGCATTCTTAGGACCATTAAGCCGTAAGATCGCCTGAGGCCGTTCCTCACGGCTTGCTAGCTAAATTTAGTGGCAAAATTGATTTTCAGTATCATCTTACGGCAGTTTAAGTTATCCGCTAGAATTAGCAGGGAAGACATTTGGTGTGAAGTTATTTACAATTTTAGTAAAGAAAACATTTGCTCAAACAAGGTTCTACGCTAATGTGGCATGAAATCGCCGAGCTCGATGGACGTCTGAAGAGGCGGTTATGAAACGAAACGATACGAGAGTACATTTTCTTAGGTATAGCAGCCATAGAAAAAGTGTAGTTTGTTTTCCTAACATAGGCATTGTATTCTGCGTTTTACATAAAGCTGAATGCCCTTTAGAACCACGCCACCTGCACAATTGTTTCTAAGAAGCGTTTTAATAAGACTACTAAACGACATTCCAACACGTTCGGATATATATGTTTAGAAATAAAATCATGTAAGAAATTCGATTTGGTGGAACCTCATCTGTACCTGTATGCAGGAGGTTGCCAGAGAGAAATCTATGCCGCGCTGATGATTTTGCAGCAGGTAGGCCAGTTGGTACTGGCGCCATTTTAACCCATGCATTATCGCGACTAGGTCAAGTGCCATCCGTTATACTCAATGGTTTCAGTATAAAGTACTACTTTTTAAGTGTGAGCATTTGTTTGATTCGCGTACCCCTTGACTTACTCCTCGCTCCCCCCTTTGATGTATTTGTAGTTGGCGAATGCAATAAATCATTATGCGTAGAGAGATAATTTTGACTGGCTTACCCGCAAAAATACGGCGCCGCAAGTCCTTAATGTAACGAAATTTCTTCACGTAGGATGACGGCGCTTCCAGGGGATGGTAGGCGTTCCCCACGTGCACCGCTTGATGGGCGAGATAGAGCAGGAGCGGCTGCGTGTAAGCAGGGACAGTTAACGGATGAATAAAATCTATCACTTGGAATCACGAATCAGTTATAAGCATACTTGACGTAAAATTGCCATCTTGCCAACAAAATAGCTTCTTCTCCTCAATAAAAAACGGCAATTTAATGCGCTCGCGAATGTTAAAAAAATTGAGTTTTCTGGTTGTGAATGATCGATTAATTTGATGGTTAAAAGCATGAAGGAACACATTTGCAAAGCAGTTTTTACAAGATGGAGAAATCTGCGGACGGTTGTGCGGGACGTCGGCAATCCGTGCAACTCCCTCAGCTTCGTCGGTCACGAGGAAGATGCGCTAATGGGATGGATATCAGCCTGAGTGATAGAACGTAGCGGTTTCCTCTCTTGAGTCTTGACACTACCGAGCATATTCAGCAGTGTCCACTCTTGAAGCCAAAGCTTATAACGAGAAAATGCTGTTAAAGAGAAACTGATCCGTCTCCAGATCGGGGACTGTTTGCAACGCCCAATAATCCCCACTGTTCTTTCGACCGCATATATACAGCAACATAGTAACATATTTGTGACGTGATGAGCGATCCGCAAAGAAATTCGACGGATTTTCACTCGGGTCAATGCCGCTCAATACTCTTAAAAAAGGATGTCGCATCTCCCCCAGGCAATGCATTTCCTGTGGCACCTTTTTGGTTCTTATTTTCAGTTACTGAAATATTGGCATGAGAGTGATTGCGCTAGAAACAGAAAAACCACTGAGCAGTTATGCAAAGGTGCAATTTTCCATTTCGGACTCCTCATTTCTCGACAAGGTCATTGATTAAAAAAAAAAAAATCTCAGCATTCATGAATAATTGCAAAAAAAAAAGCATGGATGAACCTTTTACTAGCGTGTTGCATTAATTTATTTAGTTGAAAGTTGATATCTGCTAATCTAAGTCATCTGGGAAGTTTGTTTATGAAAGGAATTGAAGAAGTTCGCGCTTTGGAGAAGTTAAAGATTTGTCCGCAGAAGACTTTTTTTTACCTTAGACAGTAGCGCCATCCCGTGAATGTACTTCCTACGCTCTCCTGGTTTCCTCCTTTATTGTCAACTCAAAATAAACAAGCAAACAAACGACCAGTAACCATTAGTCCACCACGACGCATTCACTGCGTGCTCCGGTGTGGTTAACTTATATTCAAGTCTTATGATGAGCGTTTTATGCTGATTTGCTTGTCGGTGTCATTCAAATAGAGTGAAATTGATGTGCTCTCAGAAATCCTAAAAGTAATTTTAAAAAAAAACCTAGCAAATTGTTTTTATCTGAGATGAACCTCAAGTTTTTGAAGCTTTGTGGTGTAAGGGTGGAACGATGGCATATATAGTTCCAGAAACAGAGATTAGGGAGTAGTCACCAATTAAATGCTAATGGCGATTTGAATAGATAAATTAAATATATAGTAGTTTCTAGTTGAAATGAAATGAACGATAGAATGACAGATAAAAAAGTTCGATAAGCTTGATGTACTATAATATAAAAGAGCTCATATTTGTCCCAAATTCTTTAAAACCTTATTCAGAGCGATATTAAGAGATAATTGTGACAAAATAAGCTACATATTCACGATACTCAGCAGAACGGGGGGAGGTTAATCTCCCTAGTGAAAAAAGTCATTTGTATGAGAAATTTCTTTTGTCCAATAAACACATATCAATCATACAATATATATAAAACATATAAGAACCATATAACAACCATATACGAACTATATAAGACCTATATAAGATATATAAGAGCCATATAGAAACTTATAAGAAACTTCTCACAAGTCTCTTATATGGCGCTTGTATGTTCTCATATATCTCACTAAGATCTTATATAGTTCTTATATGGTTTTTATGTGCTCCTTGTATGTTCTTATATATCTTGTATGATTCATATGTTTTTATTGTACACAAAAATTTCTCATACAAATGAGAATTTTCAATAGGGCTGTTCAACAAACTGGTGTTTTACACCGTTTCACTTTAAAGGGAAGCTGAAGCACTTTTCAAGAAATATGAGTTAGGAGCGGATTTTATAGCTTTTTGTCCCCTGCATCCAGTTATCGCACTTATCTTGCGTAGAAGTAAACTTAAACCGAATTTATTTTCAAAAATACGTGCGGCGATTGCCGTCGGGCATGCGGCGATCCTTTTTGCAGTCTGCTATGTGTACAGAAAGTCGGGACGTCCTTGACGGCGTCCCCGAGCCAGCTCAGTGGCGAGCAAGGGTGATCTTACACCGCTGATGACGTCACTACAGTGGCTTAAAGGGGGTAGTGTAGTTACCGCGTAGCCTCCTCGACGCATCGGGAACGTCCACTCCTGGGAAGACGGTGTAGGTGACGGTTCGTTCTGCAGCTCCGTTAGGGTGCCTACATCCGCCGGCAGATAGAGGCACCCTAGCACGTTTCATAACTAATATAAATCCCCCCAAAACAATTATTTGTTTCCAGTGAACTTCCAAAGACTTGGTTTGTGTTCGTAGGTAAATAAAAATGTAAAACTAGCAGACGACAGTGTAGTCAACAGCTGCAAATCGGCCGGAGCTGGCCGGAGCCAAGCTGGCCAAGCGGCCAAGCCGGAGCCATAGCCGGAACGACGGTGCTGCAAGCGCCAGCGCCACCCGCGGCCGTCTTCCAACGCTGTGCCGCTTCTCCGGTTTCGTTCGTTACACTACCGCTTTAAGCCACTGTAACGTCACTTTTGCAAGTTTCTTTTTTTTTTTTTTTCTATGATCTTGCGCTTTTCTGCCCTCGGGGCGCCGCAACGGGCGGGTGTACGTGGAAATTTGAATCGGCTGTTGCGATGCTCCTACTAGCCGAAAGATCGGATTTTATTTTCTCTATCAAAGCGGGAACATAAAACCGAGCAATTTCTACAGTTAGAGAAATAGACTTATTTTACCTTGGATGCATTGTGGGCATTTATAATACTGACGGCCTTATCCGTGAAGAGGTTCGTGGAATACTGGCCAGCACTGTTGCTTGCCACGCGGAGATCTTCTCTGAAGTCCAGTCCCCAAGTAGAAAAAACTTTTCCGTTTAAAGTATACTTCTGCAAACACAATAAGAAACGTAATTCTATAGTAACAAATATACGGTCGCTGCCGGCAATATCAAATGCACAAAGAGGGCGACAAATGTAGCTTATATTCGCACTTTCAAAGTTGCCTATACTGTATAGCATATATTCTAAGCCTTGCTGTAAAATCAACCGGGAAAATCGGCGCCGGCGTGTGTAAATATCAATGTTTTTACACGATGGGCATTTTATTAATGAATTTTAGCTTGCAAAATTGCAAAACGTAGCCCCCCCCCCCCCCCCCCCTTCCCGTGAAAAATACAGACCAACAATCCTGTAAGGGTTCAGGTCGGACTTCGACGCAGCCGACCGAGCTAGCGGTGGTTGTGCGCAATACATTTGTAGGGAATCCATCGTACTATGCAAATGTCCAATGGCCTTAGCGCCGAGAGGTTTTGCGTAGTAGGAACTACCGGACGCGCGGCCTCGGGGATTTCGTCTTTTGAATCGGGAGGGCCGGGTGGCTGCCGTCATTTTTCGTCGTAAACAGTCCTCAAGGCAGCTGAGTAAGCTGTTTCTGTCTCCTTGAACAATCCAGTATCTCGGTGAATCGGCGGCACAATTCTTCGTTGGCACAGCGCGAAAGAGCGACAGTCTGGGCAGCGCGATGCGCTTGCGTTCTCTCGGACATGTGCTGGCCCCGCCTACCCCCCCCCCCCCCTCCCCCCCGAAAGGGGCGGGTTAGGTGCTGTAGGCGCACTGTCTAATGCAAATAAGCGGAGTAGAACGTATTCTGTTATAGCCCCTTTGCAGGGAAACAAACGGAGGACAAGCTTCTCCTCAAAAGGCCCCACACTCTTTTCATTTTAGCGGAGTGATCGCCGGAGAGGAAGCAAGCAGAGAGAAGGATCAACCCATCAATTATGGCGTGCTGAGAGCTTTGTGGGAGGGGCTTGTGCTGTTCCTCTTAGACTGAATAGGCAATTGTAAAGTATTTGAATCCACCGGTGTCACTTTTTCGGATAGGCGCAGCGAGCGGACGATGCACTCAGTTGAAGGCAGACGACCTGGTGGCCTGCTCGCTGCGCCATTACTTCGTTAGCTATACGCAAGTTCCATTGACATTCTAAAAAAGGGGTGTCCTTTGTCCCCAAAAATTCAGCTCAATGTAGAGCGCACTGGCGTAAAACTGACTGCCCTAACTCGTACGAGGGACTTGATTACCGTGTGATATAATTTACTAAACAGCTAAAGTAGGTATCAAATAATACAAAAAGACAACAATGAAATTTTAAGGTAAAACAGATAAAAAAATATTGGTTTTTTTTCTGTAGTCAGTCACACGTACATATTAGTTTTTTTTACTAAGTTGTACCACACGGCTATTAGACCGCTTGTGAAAGTTCGTACCGTCGGTTGGACGTCAGTGCGCTGTACGTCGAACTGAAGCTTTGGGGTGTATAGGGAGTATTCACTGGACGCCATATTTGTGGGTGCTGTTTAGAGCGCATGCTCCGGACGAGCTCATACCAATAGGCTGCTAAGACCGCCACTCTTGATGGTGCGGAATGCGCGCTGTAAAAGCACTGTGGAAGCTCGGCATAAGCACGCGCTCAGCATTCGCGCACGCAGCTATGGCCACCAGTGAATACTCATAAGGCCGGTTCTTACATGCAGCGAAGTGCTGATGCCGCGCTACTCACGTGCCTTCAGCTACTTATCGTCTGCCATGAGTAGCAGTCTTGACGGTGCGATACAATGCTATACTGCGTTTCACCTTATGTTGTACCGCAGCGAAGGCTAGAAGCGCGAGCTGATAGCGTTGGCAGCTGCCCTTAATGCACGAGAGCTTGTGCCACAAAGCAAGGAGCTCGCGCTTGCAGCCTTTCCTGCGGTACATCATCAGGTAAAATAGGGTATAGTGAACGCTCCCGTGAGCACGCGCTCAGCGCGAGGACAGCGCGATGCTTGTAGCGCTCCACTGCATGTGTGAACACGCCTTTATGTGGAACAAGAGAGAGACTACTGGCGGCGATATATTTTGGTGGCGTCCTCCTATGGTTCCCTCTCGTGACGTCATTATACCTTGCGAGCATCAAGTTTGATAGTGTTTGCTATTAGCATGGTGGAAGCTTCAAATTATTGCGTTCTCAAAGAAACACGGCCAACACTGCCAAAAATAAAGTTCTTTCATTCCTCTCATTTCTGCCAATGAGAAATCCTTTACTGACGTCCTAGACACTATTCGCCCCATCATGGTGTCGCGTTTTCTACCGGGATGAACTGAAGACTTACAGCCGCACGCCAGGATGGACGTTTTCATGTTCATATTTTGGGCCCCGATTAGCTCGGGGCCCAAAACCGCCCCGAGTTTATTCCAATAATCCAATATATACAGAGGTCCGGCCACATGATAATAGATGAGCACCGTACACTTTCCGCAAGTCATATCGAGGGGTGACAGATGTCCGGTCACATGATAATAGATGAGCACGGTATACTTTCCGCAAGTCATATCGAGGTGCGACAGTGTCGCGCTATACACGGAAGACCGATAGCACTACACATGGCACGAAAACCACAGCGACAATTTCGATCGCGCACCTCGCCAATACCCTTTTTTCCAAGTTTGCAATACGCGTTTAGTGACTTTTTAAGAGCGTGTGCAAAACGATGTCGGTCTTTTTCTGTCCAAGTGGAACTGCCCGGCATCCACCGACGTGGAGGCTGCAAAAGTCATAGTCACCCGGTCGTGCCCCGAGCTTCTCATACCATCCGCCGTGGACGCGGATATCAAAGTAGACGAGGACATCGAAGTGGACACCGTGTGAACACTATCCGCCTCTTCGCCCCTTATGATCTACGCCGATCCTGATCTACGGGTAATCATCAACGGTGCCAGGAGATGCGCGCTCCATAAATGTCGGCAGTGACAAAGAGAGAAGAAAGAAAAGAACGCCAAGGACGTGTTTTTGACAAAAATGGTGTCAAGACAAGAATGCCCTTTAAGGGACTCGCTGGCACGAACCGTACGTACGTCGCATCTGAGCAAGATAGGCCGTCGGCCCATCTTCATCACGTGGCAGCGCCGCAGAGCAATGTCGCGTAACTCATCAATGTTTTGGAGAGCGACGAAGTCTACACCGGTCATCTTTCCTCCAGGAGGAGGAGGGACGTATGGCTGAAGAAAATAAAGAGTATCCGGCGGCACGGAAGACTGTCCCGCTCTCGGGAGAGCACGACGAGCTGTCCCAAGCGACATCGTTTCTGCCCACGCTCTACACTTTTTACCTGCACAGTTCACAGAATCGCAACAGAAGCTCTTAGGTAAAGGCCGCTTCATGGATCCTCGCGGAGCGGCATATTTCTGTTTGGCCTCTGTGCGTGAGAGGAAAAGCATGCGAACCATTGACGTATGAGGTGTAACTAGCACCCCTGAACATTTACGCGAACTCAGAACCTGACGTACCTCGTGCGAGCAGTGGTCAAAGTATCCTGCATGTGAGGTCCAAAATCCGAAGTGATGATCAAATCCTCTCATCAGTGGCGTATATTCCTTGCGGAAATAACCGAGGTGCCACTGCAAGAGCAATGAAATTGATACATAGCACACGCACCAAAAAAAGTACCGATTTTTTGTTGTTTTTTTTACAGCAGAAAGTATCTACGCATCGCCTAGCTCTGTCTTTGCCACAATATAGCGCTTGAGATCCGGATTAGATGCGATATTTGCAGAAGGAATCGTTATTTGATTCAAAAGCTATGAACGATTTTCGTAAATAGTTCATGGGAAAGTGGTGGCAGACGATGCCTAAAATTACATGGGGATCAATGGTGCAAACTTGCAGAAACGGGTCACATTTTCCCCCTTCAAAGTTTTAAAAATTCACACAACTTGAGAATAACATAAACTTTAGTTCTGAAGGTTTGTAATTTGGTCCTAACCGCTAGCGCTACATTTTTGCGGAAATCGAGCACTCGGCGGTACAAGGTTTTATCCTGTGTTTAAAAAAAAGTTACTGTAAATATTTTACGGACACGCTGTACATAGTATTTAAAGTTAATTTATTCATAGTTACAAAAAATAAATAAAATAAGGTTGACCATTAGAGAACTACCATCTCCGCAGCGTGTTTATCGAGCTCGGTGGAGATTAAATTTGGAATTACCATCATGATAAGTTCACGAATTCACCAAAATTTGGTACTTAACACTGTAGGTATTGGTGTTTATTTGTTATGTTGTAACTGTAGTTTTGAAAGGTGTGTTTGCTAGAAAACAAACCAATTAATGCTGTTTGCGAAAGGTCAACAAAAATCATCGGCTACGGCGCTAATCAGATACAACGTCATGGCCACTCATCACGTGCCATGATGAGTTTACATGGCCAATCGTAACGTGCCTTTCATGGTAACCCTTAATGTGTCATGTGCAGTCATCACGAGTCATCAGTGGCTTGCGACGCATCATTATGGGCAGGGCTAGGAACGGTTCCTATATAGGTGACAAGACGCAAAATATTGTTCGTAAAAATATATCAAAGCCTGCTGCCTTTTCGCAAATCGTATATATTGGCTTAGCGTTAAATACTAACTGGCAACAAAACTGAAGATACATAACCCAAAAACTTATGAATGAAAAATTTAAATAGCGAATAACTTTATTAAACGGATCGTGACACTTATCTCCCCCCCCCCCCCCCCCCCCGCCCCGTAATGTACGCCGGACGCAATACACGCGCAACGACATCAGTATCACTTTAAAGAGACCGCCCCCTTAAAGATATGTTCAAGTAAAAATCTGATGTGCGCAATAATATCCATAAAAGCATATTTTATTGTGAGAGCTATGTGACAACGCACAATTCCATGTAAAAGCGGTATTAGGCGAGCAAGCCTATGCAGACACGACTGGCATGTTTAATTCCTTTATTGCAAAAAGTTAACATATGCACATGATAGTTGAAATCTGATCCTGAAGGGTAAGAGAGCGACTGATATAGGCCCATTTTACGGCCGTTGCGAACTTGAAGGACAAGGGGGAAGGGGGGGGGGGGGGGGGGGGGGGGTAAGGAACCAACGGGTCGCCGGAGAAACCAAAACCGAGTAGGAAAGACACATCGAACTTTCTAAAATTTTTCTCTAAAATTATGTACTATTCCTCCGGGAGGTATTACAGTACTTCTGTACCAAGTGATAATTTAACCCACCTTGCCGATCGCGTAAGTGGAATAACCAAGATCATTAAAATGCTCAGGGAGGATCTTGAACTTGAGTGGGAGTCCCCATGGCTCTGAATTTCCAATGTCATCGTTTTGCATACCTGCAAACATGTATTGATTTATTTGGGTCGTGCATCCCGGCGCTTGTTGCGTAAATGATCTGTTATTTGAAGCTGTTGTTTTAGGCACTTTTTTTATACAGATGGAGGTCCTCTTACATGACCGGTTACGTGTAAGGGGCCTATGCAAATTATAAACATAACATAGTGGGAGCTAAGACTGAACAATATACCCATCGAAACTCAAACGTACACTGCGCCAGACCGTTATCATGGGCGTAAAAAATACCGTTTTTAAAATTTTATTCAAGGTATTTACGGTCCTCAAAGATTATTTGTAAGGTATTACTGTCCTCAATAAAGGCTTTCCGCCACACTAGTAGTTTCTTACCTGCTGTTCCACGTTAGACAAAGAACAGAAAAATGGCGAACGCCTGTTCGAACGAACCGGGTCGAGCTGTGTACGGCGTAGCATATGTGCCTATGCACCAGCGTAAAATGTATCCGTCAAACTAAAACATTCATGTAACTATAGTTTATATACGGCTTCTCTCGGTACACAATGAATTGAACGCTACTGTTAAACCAAGTTTGAAGGTTTTTATAATTAAAAAAAATTAAAACAGTACTAAAGGTCTAGGACTTCTCCTGAATGTAACTTAGCTAATGCCAAGTAGAATGCAAGTTTATAAAAGGGCTGCCCGAAAAAGACACAGACCCGTGTGAATCGGATAGAGCCCCGTCATGAGAGCGCTCCGGGTAGCAGCCCCTGACGACTGGACGTAGTAGTGGTGCAGCGCCAGACCATCGCCGGCAAGGGTGTCGATGTTAGGGGTCGGGATCTGCCTAGAGCCGTGGAAGCTGACGTCACCCCAGCCCTGTGGTGTGGACAGGCAAGTTGTACAAAGATTATCTCGGCTTCTTTAAATAGTGATGGCCATATAAATACGCCTCCTGGAACAGAGTCAGTCTTTCTGTGTTGCATGTCATGGAAAATAGTAAACTACTATACTCTGTTTCACCTTATAATGTACCGCAGGAAAGGCTACAAGCGCGAGCTCCTTGCTCAGGGCACATCTCGGCGGCACAAGCTCTCGTGCGTCAATAGTAGCTCCCTAGCGGTATGAGCCCGCGCTTCTAGCCTTGTCTGCGGTACAACATAAGGTGAAACGAAGTATACCATCAAGCAGTCAGCCTCTGTACAGGCACTAGAATATTTTAACGAAAGCCTAAAAAAACTGAGAAATGCAGAAAAATATTTAGGCAGTCAGTGTTTGGAACGTATCTTGGAAGCTAGACCTGCCACTCTGTCTTTAAATCCAGGACCTGCCTCCCCCTGTTTTCTTATGTCCTTACCCCGCAAGTGCATGGGGCGCTCAACCATTTATGCGTCTGCGTCTTTCTGCTAGCATCCACGTTCCAAACGTAGCTCTGTCTATTCACTCACCCTTAGTCAAAGTAAATTAAAGTACGACGCACACTATGACCATCCACCAACTGCGGTCTATTGGCGACTCCAGCGAAATAGTCAGCGCAAACGACTAGAACAGAAAGCTGTGGAGGTAGGTTGGCTCTCCAATCTTCCCCATTAGAATCAGGTATGTGTTCATGATTTTCATCGCGGGTTTACCGCGTAGAGGGCAGTGACAGAACGTGGTGACTGACAATACCCATGTCCCCCAAATTTGAGTAAATTATGATAGTTACAAAATATTATCAATTCTACGAGGCAAATAAATGAAGGAAGGGAAAGGAAACAACACATGCATTTATGAATAAACATACTTAAATAATTTTCAGGAGATACTTGTCGTGTTATGATTGAAGAAAAAAACAACAGCATAACTAAAATATAATCATGTCTTATACCTCTGAGATGTGAACAAAATCGACAACAGATCAGGCTACAATAGAAACGTATTCCTTTGGTATTGGATATATATATAGTGATTATGTTCCTGGTGCAATCAAATATTCTCATTCAAAATGCGATTTCACTAAAAGCCAGGACCCTTCTGGAATTATGTTTAAAAGTATAATATTTTACTAAATTAATGTGAAAATTTAGCCCGTTAGATTTTTGTTTTTTAAAACAGTTAACGCTCCTCGGGTATAAAATGTTATTTTCGGTGTCATCCTTCGCTTTGGGCTTTCGATCGGGAGGGCACTCAGGCTATCTGTTGGTGTGGTGTAGAGTACATTTTGATATATCTATTATGAAGTATGAAGGACTATATTCAATTCACCTTAGGCATGATGAAGTGTGGCTGTGTACTAAAGTTCGGGTGTCCCTTTTATTATTTTCACATATTCGTGAGACCTTCTGCAAAACTATACGCTTCATATATTTAAAAGTTGTCGCAATTTTGCAGATCAAAGTACGTCAACTTACTTTAAAATAAAGCAACAAAAAAATTGGATGTGTGTTTAAATCAGGTAGGTGTCAAATTTTGTATAATAAAAAGGCTTGTTGTTACTCGCGACAAATCAGCATTAAGCTTGTTGATATAAGAGCTTCATGAAAAGCTCTTATGGGAAACGATATGGGAAACGATACACCCAACAATGTTTTCTTTTGTCACTTGCTCCAACGATATGCCTTCGAATACTATGTTAATTTCACTCTAGCGCTCTGTACTTAAATGTTTAAGATTATATACCTAGTTTTACTTGTACTTAATACGAGTCAGTTACAACGCGTTCTCTAATTTCCAACGATATTCATTAGCCAACGTTTCCATGTACTTTTTTTATAAAGCAAGAAAAGAATATATTTGTGTGGTCTGCGTACATATCAATTCAGGGGAACCTGGCATTGAATTGTTATCAGTAAAGTGCCCGAGGAACAATAGATGCCCTGAAATAGAGCCTTGAGGAACGCCGTGTAGTATAATTCCAGTTTATTATGTGAATCATCATTTATAGGTACATACTGATAGCGATCAGTGAGATAGGTTTTTATTAGGCTTAGCGCCACCTCTTGTACACCATAGATTTGAAGCCTTTTCATTATTATATTGTGTTGCACATTATCAAACTCTTTTTTAGTTCCAAAAATAATCTAAGAGAAAAATTTGACTTTAATTCTTCCAACGATTTTATTGTTAGATCCCACAACCCCTGGCAGGACAAATAAGAAGTCGTGAAAGTTCCAAAACATATGGTGAAAATCGCCAATAGACTAGGTACTTGTAAAAAATAAAAGTCGCATTTTTTGGTGAGCGCAAAAGAAAGCTGCATATCTAAGAGAGCAGGAACTCCATGATAATGTGGATCTAGCGGTGCTAATATTACGCGCTACCTTGTGAATATAAAGTTACTTGAGTCAAAAAAGAAAGGAGAAAAAGAAATGTTCTTTATGAATTATGGTCCACCTAAACCTAACATATAAACCAACTGATATTGTTGGCGCCTGTAGCCTCTGAGTATTATTGCTCATCAGAAAAAGAAAAACGTACTTCTTTAGTTGGTAGGAATGCCACCTGCGTCCGTTATATTATTTATGGTATTCGCGATGACATTTGCTTTCTTTTGGCAGGTAGACATTGGCTCATAAAGAAATTTGTGTTTCCTTTTTTATATTTTGATTCGCGCAATGTCAGGTTGTCGAACTTTCGCGCGCTATCACGATCGCTAGAGTCGCGTTGTCACAAAATCAGTGTTCTGCAATGTGTAGTTTATTCGAGCGGGTCAAAAAAACACGGTTCCATTTTCTCACAAACACCCGAAACACCAGCATGAACTCGAAATTGAAAGATGAGCAATACAGCGTTTCGCTTCTTACCAGGTCGTCTGCCACAATAACAACAATATGGGGTCTTCGCGATGCTTGCGCAGTCATCTCGAAAAGAGTCACACTGAGAAGGGCTATTGCGGGGAGACGTAGGGTTCGCTTTTCCCTGCGTGGAATAAACGCAGTGTTTTGTGAAGTTTGTGCTATGAGGCCTTCTCGAAGACTATAAGCGATATTCAGTCTCCCGAAGCGTTCTGACCACGATACGTATTTATAATAATAATAATAATAATAATGACTTTATTTTCAGTGCCCAAAAACAACCACAGCGGTCTTCACTTTGGTGCACCTGTTCAATCCTAGAAACACGTTGGTATATTACCATCACCCAAAAACAAATAAACAAACAAAATGTTATCAGTAAATTACAAGGTTATTCAACTGATGGCGGTACAATGAAATGGATGTACAGAAATCGAGGTGCTTAGGAGCAATGCTGTTGTATAATGTCTGAATCCGAGAAAGCGGTGAAGTACAACAAGGTGAACGTACATCAAAGCATACAGGATGTCTAGTATGGCGTAAGTTAACATGAAAATTAACTTTGCTGAGCATTGATGGCGAATCAATTACACTATTCACAACCTTATGCAAAAATACAAAATCATGAATCGTTCGCCTTTCAGACAAGAGTGTAAGCGAAAATGACCTAAGTATGTATTCATAGTCATAATAACAGCGCCTTTCAAAGTACCTATCGTAAACAATAAAAATAAAAATTTCAATAAAATAATAAATTTTATTAATAATAAATAATAAATAACAAATAATAAAAATTTCAATAAAAGAAGCGTACAAAACAACAACAACAACAACAAATTGCCACGAGTTAAAAAAAACAACAAAACATTGCTACCATACAACACGTTTTCATGCAAAAATAGAGCACATTGATATGTAGCTCTCTTTTCTTCCGGGTGGATCGAAAAGGGCGACCAAAAGCTTTCAATACCTGGTTTCACCGTAAGTCCAGATGCAGCAGACGCTATGACCTCATGGGACCAATGAAACACCTCAAAAGTGGAATTTAGTGGGCCTTTCGTATACATGATTGGTTCTACGATAAGAGAACACGTACAGAAGCATTACGACTACCATAATGGTGCGTTTTGACGCTGTCTGATTGGTTCCATCAGCTCGAACCGTCCACCTTAAATGAAAGGAAGTAGAAGCCAGTTTGCTGTTTACAAACGTGAACTGTCTCCTGACTCCCAAGTAACTTGCGGTCGCTCCGTCTTCGCAAGCCTGTCCAGCTTGCTTATGTTACCAGCGCTAGACAGCATTAATGCTACACGTGCATCAAAGTTGGAGATCTAACGATGACCCTCGGCTGGACAATTTAACGTCTTGAAGGCGGCAGGTTGGTTTACATGAATATTCGGTTGTTTTTTTTACAGATTTGCTGCTTCTTTGTTTGTTTGGCGTTTAACTGGCGAATTGGTGGTTAAGCGTTTCATCGACATTTGTTGCGGCGGAGTTAAGGTGGGCTTTGTTCATTATTTTTATAAACCGGAAGTTCTCTGGGACGTCAACAACAGGAGCCTCGCCTGGGCCGGTTTGCTCATCTTGCGGCTGCGGACGCGGCCGAGGCCAGGAGGGATTTTTGCGTCACGTGACCAGCTCCATGGGGACAAGGAAGTACCTAGCGTCCCTGCCTAATGGCGGAGAGATCCGCATCGCTTCAAGCACAAAAGCCTAATTTCGCTCGCAGAAACTGATTGGAGGGACTTTCAACTGGAATCTAATTGACCGCCCTTTTATACTGTAGGAGCGGCAGGTAAAGTTACGGCCAGGGAGGGCAAATAGGAGCCAAAATAAAGAAAAAACCACACGAGATAAAAGCGGTAGCAGTATTTTATATACCTCCGCCGACGCCGCGCCTCGCTCCTTTTGTTGTGGTCGAGAGGTTAAAGCGCCGGTACTTGTCGTCGTGGCGTGAAAGTTCCGGGTTCAAATCGCGCTAGAGACTTCTTTTTTTTTTTTGTATTTTGCGCGTGTCTTGCTTTTGAACTGTGATCTTTTTTTTGGAAATCATCCACTTGCACTACTGCGCCTTACACGCTTTTACTGTTAGTCCCACCTGTTCAATCGAAACACCGGGAAGAAAAAAAAGATCAACGCAAGTTAACGCGCTAATACCATCATTTCATAATGTTCATCAAAAGGAAACCAAGCTAACAGCATCAGTATGGCTTTCACACAAGCGGAGCCGAAACAAGCATCCTTTCCTTAGCGTTTACAATTTTATCTGTTTTCAAATAACGCTCTTGCTACGATTCCTTTCAATAACAAGAGACGCCTATTTAGGACTAATAAAAGCTGCAGTTGTAGCAATTAAAAATAAATAAATAAAACAAGCAAAAAAAAAAACGACTAGCAGCTGTGGATACATTGATTGAGCGAAATCCTACAGGCAAGGCAGCAGGTCAAACGTCTGAGAAAGTAGTAGAACTGAACTAAAAGAGATCAGACTTTTACTTGCAGGGAATGAGATAAAAAGTATATTTATACTCTTTACATTTTGTTGTGGCAATCGTTTTGCAAAAATGCAAAAATGAATCAGGCATCGACCATCGCAAACCCTCTCTCTAATGCAAACACCTAAAATGACTTTGGATCAAGAAATGGAATTAATTATAATTAATTCCATTTCTTGATCCAAAGTCAGTTTAGGTGTTTGCATGAGAGAGAGGGTTTGCGATGGTCGATGCCTGATTCATTTTTGCATTTTTGCAAAACGATTGCCACAACAAAATGTAAAGAGTATAAATATACTTTTTATCTCATTCCCTGCAAGTAAAAGTATGATCTCTTTTAGTTCAGTTTTACTACTTTCTCAGACGTTTGACCTGCTGCCTTGCCTGTAGGATTTCGCTCAATCAATGTATCCACAGCTGCTAGTCGTTTTTTTTTTTTTTGCTTGTTTTATTTATTTATTTTTAATTGCTACAACTGCAGCTTTTATTAGTCCTAAATAGGCGTCTCTTGTTATTGAAAGGAATCGTAGCAAGAGCGTTATTTGAAAACAGATAAAATTGTAAACGCTAAGGAAAGGATGCTTGTTTCGGCTCCGCTTGTGTGAAAGCCATAGCGATGCTGTTAGCTTGGTTTCCTTTTGATGAACATTACGAAATGATTGCATTAGCGCGTTAACTTGCGTTGATCTTTTTTTTCTTCTTCCCGGTGTTTCGATTGAACAGGTGGGACTAACAGTAAAAGCGTGTAAGGCGCAGTAGTGCAAGCGGATGATTTCCAAAAAAAAGATCACAGTTCAAAAGACACGCGCAAAATACAAAAAAAAAAAAAAGAAGTCTCTAGCGCGATTTGAACCCGGAACTTTCACGCCGCGACGACAAGTACCGGCGCTTTAACCTCTCGACCATAACAAAAGGCGCGAGACGCGGCGTCGGCGGAGGTATATAAAATACTGCTACCGCTTTTATCTCGTGTGGTTTTTTCTTTATTTTGGCTCCTATTTGCCCTCCCTGGCCGTAACTTTACCTGCCGCTCCTACAGTATAAAAGGGCGGTCAATTAGATTCCAGTTGAAAGTCCCTCCAATCAGTTTCTGCGAGCGAAATTAGGCTTTTGTGCTTGAAGCGATGCGGATCTCTCCGCCATTAGGCAGGGACGCTAGGTACTTCCTTGTCCCCATGGAGCTGGTCACGTGACGTAAAAATCCCTCCTGGCCGCGGCCGCGTCCGCAGCCGCAAGATGAGCAAACCGGCCCTGGTGTTGTTTGCCATGAAACGGGTCTATAGGGAAAAAACAACCGCATCTCCACGTGGTGAATGATGTTGATTGGGGCGAAGCTCTGGTGGTGCTTGTCTGCGTAGACGCTGAGCCGCAGCATGCCGAGCCTTTCGTTTGTTTTCATCCATGTCGCGCTACGGTCAAATGCTCAAATGCGTATATAACCACGTTCCATACAACACATTCTCTTTCTGACATGGATGAAAACTAACGAAAGGCTCGGCATGCTGCCGCTCAGCAACTACGCAGACAAGCACCACCAGAGCTTCCCCCCAATCAACATCATTCACCACGTGGAGATGCGGTTTTTTTTGCCCTACACGAGCACGGGAGGACGTGCTCGTGAGCACGTGAGCGCGTGAGCTCACGAGCAGGAGCACGTGCAACCGACGGCGGACGGACATACGGACATGGCTAGCCCCTAAGGAGCTTCGCCCTTAATGTTTCGAAATCATGATAGCGTGCTCAGTTTATTTAAAAGGCTGAGAATTACACTTCGTTTTAACCAAAGCCCAGACGCAGCCGACGTTACAAGCTGATGGGACAAAAGAGAGAGCGTCCACAGCTTACCATCATTGTGCTCGCTATGTCTCTGTACGTGCACTGTCATCGTTGAATCAATCATGATCAGCAAATGACTAGTGAATTGCTATTTTGACGCTGCTTGATTCGTTCAATTAGCTCGCTTCGTTGCTGCGTCTGAACGTAATCTGAAACGAAGTATAGCTTGCAAGGAACGAGCAAGTGCTAGACTTTTAACTACGAGAGGCGTTTACTGTAGGCACCTTAGAATATGAACCAGGTGGAATAATCACTGAGCGTAAAACATGCTGGGCATGGTGGGTCGCGAGAGTACTACTGGTATTATCGACCGGTAGGCAATGAGGCAGCGACATTAGCGGATAATGCCCGAGTTCCACTATACTTCGTTTCACCCTAAAGACGCAGTGCAACGATATTCGCTTATAATGTTTTTTTTTCCACTTTACACGATCTTACTGGCACTAGTGGAACCCAAGTAGACTCGCAGGCAGCGCCACTGACCAAGAAACGCCTTCGTTGCGGTGTAGTTTATAGGATAAAAGTGAATATTTTCTTGCAATCTCGCCATCGCAAAGTTCGGAGGTTGCAAGTGTTCCCCAGTGACGGCATATAGTTTCCCATTGACGATACTTGAATCCGGCTCATAAATTAAACGCGAGCATCGCGTGAGCACTCGATTCGGGCTCGTGATAAATCAACAACTCGACAAGCATTTGGGCTGTAGCCCCTGTCTATAGTCGCTGCAGTGACGACAATAGCCGAACCATAACAATGTCTGGAACAAAGCGCGTGTCCTGTG